TGAAACATTTCTGAAAGTATGGCAGTAATAGTTCATCACTTCTAAATATTCTCTAAAATCACATAATGTTTCAGCAGCTCACTCTACCCGTTACTAAATTAGCCACAAAGCTAATACCGTGTTTATCAGTGGAGGAGCGCTAACATTAGTTTCTGATGTATTCTAAATAACTTAAATCTGCGAGCCGCCTGTCTGCAGTTCTAGTCGGTATGTCTGAAATGATTAAACCAGAGCAGACATGTAAATAAACGTGAGCTGAACAAGAAACACGGTTTCCTGTAGCTCCTCTTTGTGTGATGTTGTAGATGTGAAACGTTGCAGTCAGAGCCGTAACGACTCTGGTTACAGTTATAGTATTGTTAGTTAAATGAAATCTCAAAGTTGCAAGTCCTCATTGTAGACAGTCATGTAGTATGAGATGCATTCACCAGCAGGTCACTGTAAGACCTGCTGTAAGAGTGCTGGTACTACGCTTATTGTCTTTAAGCCGTCTGTTTACAGTTGAACCTTCCTGCAGCAAATATTTAATAATGTGTAATTGTTTACATGTTAAGTTGTTGAGACTGTAATTTATTTTATTAATATCATTAATATTTTATTAATATTAATACATTCAGGAAAAGGTATTATAGCCAACATGGCTATAATACCTGCATACCTGCAGAACAGTTTTCAATATTGGCCTGTTCTAAATGTAGTTTAGACAGGGCTCTGCAATCTAAATAATTTTCAAAATCAAAATAATTGCTCATAAATTGGCTCTTTTTCACTTTAATATCGGCATCGGCCCCAAAAACCCCATATCGGTCGGGCTCTATTCAGTACTGCCGGTCTTGATGTTGAGCAGTCCCAGTCCAGGCCTCCCAGGGCAGTACCAGCTGGGCCCCAGGCGGTACCAGCCCTGGTACAGTCCCCTCCAGCTCAGACACCCCAGAGCGCCTCCTAGCAGCTGAGTGGGGAACTGAGGGAAGTAAGCTAAGAGACAGAGCAGCAGAAAGATCCAGAGCCCGAGCAGGAGAACACAGAACAGGAAGAGGATCCTCAGAGGGGCATCTGAGATCCCACCCAGGCTCAGATAAGGGCCAAACACGGCTGTTTCCTCAGCCAACAGCAGGCAGCAGAGACAGAGGAGGAAGACATCTTCTGAAACTTCATACCCCCTCCACAACATTCCAGCTTTGAGGCACTCTGACTTACTCTCCCCTTCTCGCAACACCAACAGAGGCTGCCCATCGGTGATCTCTGGCCCGTGAGTAAAGGTTCATAGCAGCTTCCTGTGGTATTCTCCAGAAGGTCCAGGAGTTTACAGAAACCAAGCCACAATCCACCAGCCACCCCGAGCCGGGAGAGGTGACGGATGGAGAGAGAGAGGGAGCGACGGATGGAGAAGGAGAGGAGGAAGACAAAGGAGCCGACAAAGATGCAGGTCCAGCCCCAACCAGAGCGCAAGAACATCCTGAAGAAGTACAGGAGGACAGATGTAAACTATTTTAGAAGTAAAAATAAAAGTGTAGTAGCTGCCACATTAACTGACACATTAGTGCAATAATCAAAACCACCATTGATAAGATCCTGTTAAAGGTGCTGGTTAAAGAGGGTTTTTGGTGAGTTTTTTCTTATTCAAATCAAGGGTCTAAGGATAGATAGAGGGTTTCGATTACTGTACAGATTAGGCACTTTAGGCCAAATTGTGATACTGGACAATATCAATAAAATGACCTTGACAGAAACTGTCACATTTTGTGGCAGTGGAAGATGCTAAAAGATGTAAAAATCATTTCCAAAATGTTTAAATTCTTAAGTAAAGACTACCCAAAAGCACTTATATGTGATATGTGGTCTTCTGCCACAGTCGCATTAATTTAACAATGTGCTATTAATTTGAACAAAAATAAAATAAAATAGTGAGGTGCAAAAATACTCTACATAGCAGTCTGACAATGGAAAGCTTGGAGGAGCATATCAGACATCCTCTATTGTACTTCTTTTACTACCAGTGTTCAGTCTTAAATCAAGAATGCTCAAAAATTTTGACTTTATAAACAACCTTTCTATAGATTTCAGTAAGTAACAGTGCAATGCAATATGTTTTTGAGTTAAGCTGTACTAATTCTTACTACATACATATGTGAAATACATTTTTTTAGTGCATTCATACTGGAAAAGTAAACTAAGTGAAAGTTAAAAATGTTCTAGGCCTGCGCATACTGAATTTAGTTTAATCAATGGACAACGATGCCCTACAGTGAAAAAAAATATCTAAATAATTGTGGGCAACGGTGAGATAGCTCCAGGAACATTTGTTAAACCTTTGGATCATTTTTCTTTCTCTTTGTTAAAGCTGGACGAGTCAGTATGTTTTACATTAATAATGGGTCAAATCACTATAATGTAGAGACCACCCCACAGAGAATTATCACCTGTCTCAGTAGTTTCCCTCAGCTCTGCAGAGCTTTTTAGCATCATTGAGCTCATTGTTTTGGTTTTACAGCCGCCACTTTACTGTTTTGGTTCAGTCTCAGTGCTCTCTTCAAGCTCTACAAATCCAATGTAGACTACCTGCTCAGCACTAATAAGGAGAGGCTGATGGAAGTCATGGCTATACATTCATTATCCAAATGAATATTAACGTTGCTCTGTGACTAGTAAATGTTTAATAGGCAAATGTTTGTTATAAAGTTCACCCACAACAACTTTATAAGGTGATACGTCAATGTTGTGTTTACAGCTTGCACTGCTGTCCCCAAGTGGTGACTGTGGCAAATAATACATGAACCCAAAGAAAATGACTCTGGTGTTATGGTAACAGTTTGACACAGAGGAGGAAACATGAATAAACCTATTCTTAAGCATATCCAATGGGAGATCATCATCGTCAGCTTTTTTCTTTAAACAATAGCAGGGAGGCCTGCATTATAGGCCTGTTGTGTGCAACTCAGTGGCACAATAATACCACTGGTTCCAAGAAGACAATTGAGCCGGAAGAAAACAGGAAGCAGCCTCACCTGTAGAGGAAGTGGCTTCTCTTGGCAAAGATGCTGTGCTGGGAGACCCAGAGGCTCAGTGCAGGGCCGAACATCACGACTGCTGACAGCCACAGGTGGAAGTGCTGCCGGAACACAGTGTTACCCAGGAACCTGGCCGCCAGGTCCGACAGGACCACCAGCACTGTGTTAAGGAACATCTGGAACCTAGAACCAGACCTCTGACTGGATGTCAAATTAATTTTTCTAATGAAAACGGACTGCTGCTAGCTCTGAATACAGCAGTGTGTTTGATTTTCCACCTCAGTTTAAATAGCAGGCACTGTTTGATGTGCTTTAATCCCGTATAGAATGCATTTAACACACTCCTGCAAATGACCTCTGTTGCACATGGGAACAATTCAGCATCTTCTGTAGTCCAAAAGTCTGGTTGGAAGTAATCAGTCTTTACAAACTATATTTTTTAAAAGTTTCAGATTTGATCCACTGATTCAGAAATCTAAAGATTCTGACTGTGTAGTAAAAATAGCTGGTCCACTGGTGTTGCTGCTAGTGTTATCACCATGCGTAGTGTACGCTATACCATGAATGAAGTGACAGCGTTCCACGGACTGCAAATATGTGCACACTGTGTAATCCAACTGTCTCACTCTTCAGTCCAGTAAGCACTTCTCCTGACTCAGTACAGTATGTTGTATCTGCAGCTCTCACACTTGGGACTGAAGGCTTCAACAGTGCAATAGTGCAACCGCATAACTGTTGTTTAGCTGTTTTTGGTGCAGCTGAAGAAAGCCGAGTTGAGCTTCAGTCTTCTCTGACCTTGTATAGCAGGTTTCCCCACGTGTCTCCTTCCTGTTTTCCTGTTTTCTTCTTGTTGTAAAGTGACTGTCATTGGCCACTTCTGGAGAAATGCTATGACCGCCACTGTATTCCTCTTGGTGATGGCCAACACTTTGTTACCCTGAAAAATGTCCAAGAGTTGTAGCTTCTGAATATCTCTGCGGTAGCTGAAGCTTCTCTGCTCTTCTCTGTCACCAACACCCACCTTCTCCAACACACACACACACACATAAAAATACAGAGTAACATATGTTCTTGCCTTGTCACATGCCTCCTGGGCCTTGAAGGTGTCACATTGCTCCTACTGAGATGGCTGAAGGGTACAGAAAGGTTGAGCCAATGACATTATTTCCTTGGTGTTAACATGGATAATGTATGGTTTCTGACTAATTTAGTCTTAGTTTGCCAGCACAGTTAGAGGCTGAGAGCAAGCGGAGCAGCGCCAAATAGAACCAGTGTTACAAAAAAAGTCATGAATTAAGTGTTAGAAATGATGTGAAATTAGATGCAGTGTGTTGCTTTATGTGTGTGTATGTCTGTTTGCGTTCATGTGTATTAATAGCGGTAACCTTTGTACTGTATCTGGGCTGAGACTCAGCTGTTGCAGCAGTCTGTCTCTGTCAATCAATGAATGGTTTGCTGTCAGATTTGCTGTCCTTTTCTTTTCTCTCTCTCAGATATCACTCTTTCATTTAGTGTTTTGAATTGACCCTGAACAAGGCAATTCCTTCAACAAACCACGTAATCACCTTAAATCCACAAGCAAAGTCAGTTATATAGAATTACCTTTCAACCCATATCCTACATACTGTCTCTCACATCATGCCAAAAATTGTGCAATGTATATTTTAGGTGCAGCTTATTCAGTCATGTATAGTGAAATTGCCCAGAGCAAATTAGTCCAGCATAAAGGAAAAGTTTAAATCTGATCAATGTCAGGCAAAAACATGGTCGGACAGCTGCTTTGTTTTGGACATAATAACCGACCCAGAGTTATCTTCCATCCTATTGGACAGGTAAGCTAACATTACTGCAAAGCATGTGAAATATATTGTGATGTTGTGTTTTAGTTAGATAACGTTAGCTTGCAGGCTAACATCGTCCAGTTGCTAACCTTATCTGTTGCAAAATGCTATAGTTTTATGGCTTGCCACACTATTTTACCAGCTAACACTAGTACCGGTATTATGTCAAAGTGTTGATTTTAGCCTTTATCACTCCACAGTCCTTTGTTTAAAAAGTTCAGCAGCAAAATTCAAAATTTTAAAACATCATAGTCAGTGATGAATAAGCATAATTGCCAACCTCCAGACATCATAGCCTAAATCGTGAGACCAAACCTAACCAGGTATGGGAATGTTCCACCCAGAAAATGTGTGTCATGTGGGACTGTTTTCTTGGGATCTAGTGAATTTTTGGAATAATTATTAAAATTTTTTGTTAAAATCCAAAAGCATGGGTTTTGCTCCAACATTGGAAGGGACACATAGCAAATGGGGTCCTCCCGAAGAAGATTTAGAGCATTAAACACTTAATTTCCTGCATCCTGGTGAAATGTTTACACCAATTTCTGCCTTTTTGGTGGAAATGTCTTTATTTATTAACAGCCAGGCGGAAAGTGACAAGTCAAAATATAAAAATAGAATAGAAAATAGGGCATTCTGTATTTCTTATGTATACAAAATCTCTCCCAGAGATCTGTGTTCTCTGGCATGTTGAGAAAAAAGTTGTAATATTCCGAGACTCATGTCATCAATAAGAATTCACAATATTTTTTTAAGTCTAGCTCCCCCATACTCTGCTGGGCATTAGCCTGCGTTATTGCCCTGCTGATGTGGTAGTAACCCCTTCAGACCGTCTGAAAGACACAGCGCTGTTGAGACAAACTGAAAAGAAGTGAAAACACTTCTGATCAGGCATAAATCTCTTCACAAATCCATACAAATATTAAATGCAGCTCACAGTCCCAAAGAGAGCAAGTTTATGCCTTTGTTTTTAAAGTTTTATATTGTAAAACTCTACCAGTTACTTACTATTTCTGCATACGCTGGTGTTGCATCAGCTGAGCGAAGTTGATTCGCGCTGAGCCAATGCTATTAGTTATACATTTGTTTTTCACTGCATGAGAAAATTGATGTGTGGCGTGAGAGCATGTGAAAAGTGTCAATTACGTGAGTCTCATGCTCAATGCATGAGAGTTGGCAGCTATGCAATAATGATACAAGTCATGAGCAGACAGCTAAATTAGGATGGATCTGGTGTTGTTTGCTTAGTAATTTTCAATTGAGATTTATTGCTGTTTTACTGATACTCAGGTACACAACTTCTTTGCCAGTCTAAGTTGCCGTAATGTATGCGACCCACATAATATACAATAATGCCACATAGCGGTGCAGGTTAACACCACAGTGGAAGACCCATTCAGTACAGTAATGTAACTTACAACAATCTCATTTATAATATTCAGTCTAGCTCACTAACCATTTTCATTATCATCCAATAGCTATGTTGACATTTCTGAGCCTCTCCGATGAAAGATACAGTTATTGTAAAGCCACAGCCTATCTAATGCCAACGTATTATGTTGGTTAAATGACAATATAATCCAACATAGCCATCAACCAATCATGACTCACCCAAGGTGGCCAGTCAGATTTCAGAGGTCCACCCTAAATATAAACCTGCAAGTTAGTTAGCGTGAGCAGGAATGGCCACCATGGCTAAACGGAAAACGGATGCTTCCTATATTCATACTCTATCTTCAAACATCTTTTTAAGCATTAATGCTTTGGCTTCCACACTAAGCTATTGCTTAAAGGAGCTAAACTACTTTTATAACACTGAGGCATTAAGACATCACAGCTGCCAAACTTACATAACTTCTGAAGTAGGTAACAAAGTAATATGCTGTTAATGTTGCTAATGACTGACAAAAGCAACTGTGCTATGATAAGTCACAGGTTAATGGAACAGTAGCTCTTTTTCCATACCTACCTAACTGATGTTGTTAGATGAAAGTCTTGATTGTGCCAACCAGGATGACTTTGAGCTTTGCCAGGACTGTGGTCCTCTTGAAGGCAGCTACTGATGACAGGAAAATGGATGTCTGGTGTGATGAGTCCTGGGTCCAGCTGCACCACCATGATTTCAGTCAGACTGCTATGTGAAAAACATGAAGTGATGGTGCAATCAGACAGGGCTACACCTGTACATGGTGGAGTTCTTCTTGTTAAAAGACATTCGTAAATACAGATATTGTTTGGGCATTTTTTACCTTAAACAGACAGGTCACTTTAGTTCACCCTATCCTTTCCCTGCTGTCTTGCAAACAAGTCTTGTAGACCCTGAATATTAAATGCATTATCTTTTTGTTTAACATTTTACATTGGCACTATTTATTTTGTTTGTGATTCAGTTAAATAAAGTAGGATGTAGCACCACATACTCACCCGACCCTGTGCTGCCCCTCCCAGTGCAGATCCCTTAAGGGGCTCGGTATCTGTTTGGCGTCCAGGCAGCCAGAGGGACTGTCAGCTGTAGGATCTCACCTCTAATCCTCCATAAAACACTGGCTGAAAACATAAACAGCTGCCTGCCTGATCTGCTTCACCCTGTCTCGCTGCTGAAAATGTTCCAAAGCGGAGAGCCAAAAAGCAAGGACATGGATGGACAGGCTGGAGGCCTTGTGATCATTCCTACTAAAAGATAAAAAATACATCTGAAAGTTTAAATTGACTGGATTCCATTCAAATGATAGTATATAGTGATTGATTACTTACTGCACTTACAAAATCAGTGCTGAACAGGATGGAGCACATCCCAGCTATACCCCTCACTGTATAAAAGCAATGTATTCCTAGGATGATTGGCACAGAAAATCAGTCATTCATGAGGTCACACTAGTGCAGCAATAGTTACAAATAGTCAATATAAATGTAATGTCTAAATATACCAGCCAAAACATGACTGAGAGAATTAACAGGAACAACACTTATATCAGTTCAAGCCGTCTAGCCATGGTGGTTATTTTTTCCCCATGACTGTGTCTTCTGTGTATGGTTCAATTCAATTCAAGTGAGTCCTTATCTCCCTGGCTACTATCAGGTTGAAAATGCCACTGATGGTGTGACCAGTAAACAAACACAGTTTGTGTGGTCTATGCAGCGGAAGGCAGTGGGGTCAGGCATGATACCAAACAAAAGGTTTATTAATATCTATCACACCCATAGTATTAATAAACTGCACACATGCTTAATACCAAAACGATGAGAGAACAATGGTGAATGCAGCTTTCTATTTTCACTGTCTAGGAGTGGACTGAGACTTTATTTTACTCCTAGCATAGTGGTAACTGAAAAAAGTCTTTAATATATATAGTTTCTCACAAAAGTGAGTACACTCCTCACATTTCTGTAAACATTTGATTATATGTTTTCATGTGACAACACTGAAAAAATGACACTTGCTACAATGTAAGTAGTGAGTGTACAGCTTGTATAACAGTGTAAATCTGCTGTCCCCTCAAAATAGCAAATTACTCAGCCATTAATGTCTAAGCCGCTGGTAATAGTGAGTACATCCTAGTGTTGGGTATCGTTTAAAATTTTACGATACCAGTAGCAAAACCAGTACCCTTAAAATGAGTACTTCATTTGATACCTGGTATAAAATGCCACTTGTTGAAGCCATAGTAGTTGATTGGGAGCCTATTATTATTTTTATTGTTGATATGGACAAGCAAGGTTATTTTTATTTATTTATTTTTATTTATTTTAAATAACTGTTCTTTTATTGCTGAGTCGCAAACCTCCTCCAAAAACAACAGTCACAAGTATAAAACGATTAGGAAGTCTGTTTAAACAAGTCTTAACTACACTTAGCTACACTAAAGACTCACAAACAGAGGAAAAGAGAGGCTGCACGTCCAGCTGATCAAACCAACTACACCTGAAGCAGCACAGTGCAGCCGCAGCCGTGAGCAGTGAGTAAAATCAGCTGATTGCTGCTGCGCCACAAAAGCGATGTGAATAGCAAATAAAAATGTACAGAGAAGTGTTAAATGATACCAGAAGATGAAACCAACCAGCCAAGCCAAGCTTGTGGTGATAAACTTGCAACAGTGACGAACATGCCTGAGACCGCAGCCGAAGGTGAGCGGCTGCAGGACTCGCGCGTGCAGGCCTTTATCTTTGGGCATGTGTTTGGGTATGTGTTTGCATGTTTAGCTGCAAGCAAAACATAAATAGTAATTTTTTGCCGCGATCTGGTTACAAAAAGTACCGAATGAAGTACTGGTTTGACTGGAGACGTTTCGATTCTACTAGATACAGGATACCATAAAGGTATCGAGTATCGATACCCATCCTAGTACACCCCTAAGTGAAAATGTCTAAATTGGGCCATTTTCCTCCCCGGTGTCATGACTCGTTAGTGTTAAAAGGTCTCAGGTGTGAATGGGAGCAGGTGTGTTAAATTTGGTGTTATCGCTCTCACACTCCCTCATACTGGTCACTGGAAGTTCAACATGGCACCTCTCTCTGAGGATCTGAAAAAA